GTGGAAGCCTCTGGTGCTGCTGCGGCTGGGTGCCAGCGCGATGAAGACGCGCGCTGCTGGTTGGCCGGAAGCACTCATGCGAACTTTTTCTCCATCTCGCGAATCTGATCGCGGTGACAGGCCGCGCCCCACGCCCCGAAGCGACGCGTCTTCCGCTAGACCCTTGACGCTGCGCGCCTAAGTCCAGCGGGTGCGAGCGACGAACCCAGGCTGCGCAGCAAAGGGCGGGGGCGCAGAATGATTCACGCGCGCCGCGCCCCCCCCCACGCGCGCGCGCGCGACGGCGCGAGACCTCCAGCGCGCGCGCGCGCCGCGAGCGCGCGGAGGACGAGGAGGAGGGGGCTCCACGCCGAGGAAGAGAAGCCGCCCGCGTTGCCTCCCGGGCGGCCTCGCCCCCCTCCGCGTGCTTCTCGTCGGCCAGCGACGGCGGCTTTCTCGCGGGCTTATCTGTCATGGCTCCCGCGGCCTTGGACTCGGTTCAAATTTGTTGGAAGCCTGCCTGGACTGATGGGCGACGTTCCTGCGGCCGTAGAAATATAGCTGCAATTCGTGCGAGATGGCCCACTCGTCGAAGTTCTCGATTCTATCCTCAGCAGCCTTTTATCTGCGTCTCCGCATACTCCTCGACTCCGACGAACGTCTGCACGGGCGCGGGGCCTGCGAGCCCGTGACTTGGAGGGGCGCGCCCCCCCCATTCGAGCGGCGCTTCTCGGGCCCCGGGTGCCGACCCCAAGCCAGACCTGTGTTTTTCGACGTTGCCAGCGAAGCGGTCGCATGCAAGCTGGCAACTGCGAGGGCCCGCCCCCCGTCGAAGAAACAATCGCCTCGTGGCGCGACAAATCTACGATGTGGTCTTCGCCCAGCTTTCTTCTACGCTCGCTGCTGCGATGGAACCAAATCCAACGAATCAATCGCGACCGCGCAATGCCGACTAATCCCCTCACCAATCCCCTCGCCTCGAGGCTGGCGTCCGAGATGGCGCCATGTGTGCGCCTTCTGGGGGGGCCAACGCGCGCGGATGAATGGCGACCGCTCCTCGCGCCGCCATCCCAACGCGCGCAAGACAGCACGACGCACATGGAGGCTCTCCGCGCTGGGGCCCATGACAGTGGTCCAAACTACCAGACAATGCCGTTGCAGTCTATCCGCATGGCGCAGTGCGCGACGCGAGGGTGCGCGCGGGTCTTCGCTCGAGCACTCCTTCCGAGGCTCGTGAACCAAAGCGGCGGGTTCACCGGAACCGCGGTGCCGCTGGAACACCCCGCCGCCCGCGGAGAGGGGGCGAGCGCGTGGCTGGGCGCCTTCGCCTCCCGGGACAGGGCCATCGCTGCAAGCGCGGGCGGAGGGCGCGGGGGCGGGCGGAGCGCGCGGGAATGCGATGGGGACAAACGTTTGAGAGATACTGGCGATGGCAGGGGGGGCGATGAGGATGACGACGGGGGCGATCAGGGTGACGACGAGGGGGCAATGCGCGCGCACGTAGCTTCGACACCAACGAGGACGATGGTGACGATGATGAAGGTGATGGGGAAATTCCACGGATAACGATGAAGATGAATATATGATGATGATGATGATGATGATGATGATGATGATGATGATGATGATGATGATGATGATGATGATGATGATGATGATGATGATGATGATTATGATTATGATGATGATGATGATGATGATGATGATGATGATGAGTATGATGATGATGATGATGATGATGATGATGATGATGATGATGGTGGTGATGGTGATGGTGATGATGGTGGTGGTGACGGCGATGCCGGTAACGATGGCGACGATGATGACGGTGATGCCGGCGAGGATGACGATGAGGACAACGAAGATGATGACAACGAAAGGGAGGGCCCAAAGACGTGCATGCCTGCAGACCCAACGAGGGCGCAAGCGGCACGACCTTGGCACAAGTAGCTCGCCATCGACCGTAAAAAAACGCTACGTGCTAGTATGATGATAACGCGGAAACAGAATCACTAAGTTCTTATACGCTTTGTTACGTCATTGTGTTATTGTTCAAAGTGTGTTAGTCCATGATGCTGTATTACAGTCGCCACTGTCGTGGCACTCGTTCATCACGTACGGTCTGGTATGGCCAGCAATTGTAATGTAGTGCTTCAACGATCCACCCTGTGACGTAATGCGTCGCCATGTCCGTTGTATTATCGAGTTTGTGCCATGGTAGGTGTTGATATGGCGTGGCGTGTGATGTCGTGTTATGCTGTGGTGTGGTATGCCATGCTACCATATTATATGTAATTCCGGGCTTCGGGGTGAAAGGGGGCCCCCTGGAAAATGAAAGCGGGCGTGAACCAGTGAAACCTCTGCTATCTCCTCCTCCTCATTATGTCCCTCCGTCTCCTTCTCCTCCTCTTCCTCCTCCCCCTTCTCCTCCTCCTCCTCCTTCTCCTCTTCTTCCTCCTCCTCTTCATTTCCCCTCCCTCCCCATCCGCCTTCATCCCCCCTTCCCCTCCTCCATCCTCCCACAGCGGCAAGGAAAAACAAAAGAAAACCTAAGGAAATAACAGGTGTGTTGCAGAACAATTACAAAGACCTAAGAAAAAAAAAAACAAAAAAAAAAAAATGCTTGGAATTGAAGACTAAGCAGAAACCTGAGGAAAAACCAACAAAAAAAACAAACACAACAAGGGGAGCGTAGGGGTGGGAAGGGTAGGTCTGTGAATATTTTTTGTTGTGTGTTTCCCTATGTTGTTCTATGTTGTTCGGCTCCAGCCCTTTGGTTTCTTTGTTTGTTTTTGGTTGTTCCTGTGGTGTTCTTTGGTTTTTCCTTGCCGCTGTGGAAGGAGGAGGAAGAGGAGGAGGAGGAGGAGGGGGAGGAGGAGGAGGAGGAGGGGGAGGAGAAGGAGGAGGAGGAGGAGGAGGAGGAGGAAGGAGGAGAAGGAGGAGGAGGAGGAGGAGGGGGAGGAGGAGGAGGAGGGGGGAGAGGAGGGGGAGGGGCAGGAGGAGGAGGAGGAAGAGGAGGAGGAGGAGGAGGAGGAGGGGGCAACTAACGCCAGCTAGCACGCTGCGCCCCGAGCGAGGCTCAAGCAGCTCGCTGCGCCACTCCCTGCTTCTTTTCCCCAGCAATGGGGAACCCAAAGCCAAGCACTGAGGCTTTCGAATGGAAGCGAGAGCGGAACCGCCGCTACAACGAGAAAAAGAGAGAGGAGAAGAAGTCGCCGCAGGTGCGGCTTTCCGGTATAATCTTTTTTGTGGTGCTTTCCGAAGGATTCCTTTTGTGAGGCTTTCCAATGCAATTCCTTTGTGGTGCTTTCCAAAGGATTCCTTGCGTGAGGCTTTCCAATAGAATCCCTTTGTGGTGCTTTCCAAAGGATTCCTTTACTGAGGCGTTCCAATAGAATCCCGCTGTGGTGCTCTCCGAAGGATTCCATGTGTGCGGCTTTCCAATAGAATCCCTTTGTGGTGCTTTCCAAAGGATTCCTTCAATGAGGCGTTCCAATAGAATCCCGCTGTGGTGCTCTCCGAAGGATTCCATGTGCGCGGCTTTCCAATAGAATCCCTTTGTGGTGCTTTCCAAAGGATTCATGTTGTGAGGCTTTCCAATAGAATTCCTGTGTGGTGCTTTCCAAAGGATTCCTTGCGTAAGGCTTCCCAATACAATTCCTTTGTGGTGCTTTCCAAAGGAGTCCTTTTGTGCGGCTTTCCAATAGAATCCCTTTGTGGTGCTTTCCAGCGGATTCCTTGCGTGAGGCTGTCCAATGAAATCCCTTTGTGGTGCTTTCCAAAAGACTCCTGCTGTGAGGCTTTCCAATAGGCTCTTACATCAGGCTGAGGTTGAGGCTTTCGATCTCAGCTCTTACATCATGCTGAGGTTGAGGCGTGATGACCTACGAACCCCCCTTTGGATACGTCCGAGGAGGAGGAGGAGGAATGCGAAGAGGAGGAGGAGGAAGAGGGAGGAGGAGGAGAAAGAGGATGAGGAGGAGGAGGAGGAAGATGGAAGAGGTTTGAATGGTTTACGCCCGCTTCCATTTTGCAAGGGGGGCCCTTTCACCCCCGAACCGTAATTCCGCGTTCTGTTAAGGTTCCGTATGTCCTGTTCTGTTGTCATAATTTCGGACACGCCCCGCTATCATATTGTATTGCCTACTAATGTGTATTGTCTTGCAATACGATACCACTTGCTATGTCATCTAACGCTGCATGGTTGTATGCTATGACTTGTGCGCCCCGCTATATCCTAGCAAGGTGTGTTCTGCTATGGTACACCTTGTTGTGTGATGATGTGGACTGTTATGGAATGCTCTGCTGTATTATCATGCTGAGGCCTGTCGTGTTATGTGGTGTTATGCGTTATGCGTTATGGTATGTGCTGTTCGTTTTGTTATCTTCGCAGGGGCGGGAGTCTCGAAGACTCGGTGGCCCTGAGAATTTTGGCGGCCGCGGTCTGCAGATATAGCGGATCGGTTTGGGAGGGGCGGATGTCTCGAGGATTCTCAGTGGATCTGGGGAGGGATCTGGCGACCGTGGTATGCAGGGTGGGCTGGTCGGGAGGCTTCTTGGTCCAGAAACGAAATGGAGAACAACAAAAACACACATGTACATGTATTAATACATCTATGTGTCTTAAGAAATCTGTATATATATATATATATAATTGGACGACCCGTACCTGTCGGCCGGGGAACAAGATTCGACCAGATGGGGCGGGGTTATGCCAGGATTGGGCACTTCTACCAGCACCGACGCGGAGTTTCACCTCTCTTGAGCAGGGACCGACCGTCCTGGCATTCCTATAGTCATACCACGAAATGTTCTTAGACCCCGAAAATGTTCTGAGAACAAGAACAAGGTTCTTGGAACAGAAACCCCAGGTGTTAAAACAAGACAATCTCCGCCAGAAATGTTCTGAGAACATTTCGTGGAATCCACCAGAAAGGTTCTTAGAACATTGTTCGGTAGGGCCATAGGCGAGCCAGGACGCTTCGCCACTGCTTGACCCTCACGGAACTGCACGCCCCGACCTGGTCGGTGGAGGCAGCTCCCGACCCGGCCGCCGTGGCCAAGAGCGCCGCCTCCGTCCTGGAGGCCTTCCCGCTGCCCGGAGCGCCGCGGCGCGCGTCGTCGAGCTCGGCGCGTCGGAGCGCCACCCAGCGGAGACCGCTGCTGATGCTGGCCTCCACGGCCGGCGAGACCTGGAGGAGGCCCGCCTGGCGCTTGCTCAGCACGGCGATGGCGGCCTTGAGGATCTGCACCGACTGCGCGAGCTCGACCTCGCCCTTGTCGAACTCCGCGTGCTCCTTCTCGCGAATAGCCACGAGCGCCTTGAGCGCCTCCCCCTTCTTCCCGATGTCCTTCTTCAACTGATCAATCTTCGCGCCGGAGTCTGCGTTCCTGGCGCTGAGCGATTCTACCTGCGACATTAGCTCATTCATAGTGGCATCGGCGTCATCTATGGCCTTCGCCTTGGCCTTCTCGTTGCCGTCGCACCAGCAGCTCAGCTTGGCATATGTGTCGCTGTCCTCCTGCGCCTCCTTGCTCAGCTCGGCCTTCATCTCCTCGAGCAGCTTCGTCACGCGCTGGATCGGGGTTGGTCCTGTTGAGTCCGATGCTATTCCGTCGGCCTCGGCAGACCATGCAGACAGCAGCGTACGCCTCTCGACAGCTGTGCGTGTGGAAGACACGGGCGCTGACAATCCCAACACGCAGCAGATAATGTGCCGCGCGTGCGGTGCCATTGCCTCAGGTTCGATTCGCGCTGCCTCCCTACATTTACCGATCGGCCGAGGAACGACCACTCTGCAGTCAAGCCGGCGTGAACCAAAAATGGCACGGACCTCACAATTGCGCACTGCACGTTTGACAAGCAATGCAGAGCTGCGTAATCGAACGCGACTGCGTTTACAGCGTCCGACGCCATTGGCAGGGCCATTGCTTTGAACATGTACAGCACGTGGTGCTCCTCTCCTCTCCTCTCATTCATTCATACTTCCTCCTGCTTCCTCTGTCTCCTCTCTTGGACATATCGCTTCTCCCCATTCCTCTCCTCTCCTCTCCTCGACCTTCCTCTCCTATTCCCCCTCTGGTATCCTCACGTCTACCCGCTTGATTCGACCCGCGACCCTGGCGTGTGCATCGGAGTGCGGACATGTTGTACCTCGCTCTTCGGTGCTGCCAGCTGCGGATGTCGCCACTTCTCCTCTGGTGCCCCTTGGGGGTCCAGCGGTGTGTTGCCATACTCAGAATATGATGGAACCTCGTCCCTCCCCAGACATGCGACGTCCTGATTGTTTCAATACGGCGTCCCTGGAAGTCCCGACCCTTTTCCCAGGACCTATTTTTCATCCTGAGTCGTTCTCTGACGGTCCCGAGGCCCGGCGAGGGCGCCCCGAGGCCGAGAACGGCAAAAAAAACCTCCCGTCCTGTTTTTTTGTTACGCGGCGATCGTGTCTCTCGTCACTCCGGGAGTTGCCAGATGTACACCTGTTGTCGCGTTCCTGCGTCACGTCGAGATGACGCAAAGGGCCGTCTAACACTTCACACCAGGCCCGGCCTCCAGGGGCTGCTGCCAGCCCTCCCTGGGCTGAGTACGTCCATGGGCAATTTTTCGCGAGTCTGGACGTCTGGGGAGGAATGATATTAGGTCAAACGTGAAGGAGACCGAGAGAGCGAGCGAGGGAGGGTCGGACGGAACGGATAGAAAGAGAATGCTGATGACGCCGCTGCTGCTGATTAATATGATCATGGGTGTGATGGTGGTGTAGGTGGTGATGATGCTGATGATGCTGCTGCTGATGATGATGAACACGACGCTGATGATGACTATTGAGGATAAGACGCTCTAGAAAAGCGGGTCCCTGAATGCCACGAGCCTGAGAAAACAGACCGCCATCAGTAGGAAGGAGGCAGGAAGGGTAAGACTATGATACGCCCAGTGTGTGACGAAAGCACAGTGCAGAGAGGTAGAGGCAGAAATAGAGAGAGAGAGAGAGAAAACAAAAAAACGACAAAGAGAAAGAGGGAGAGAGACACACACACACAGACACACACACAGACACACACAGACACACACACACACCTTCTCCCGCCCACACCTGCGGCCCGCATCGGGCTGGACGACGAGGGGGTTGCAACGGCGGTGTAGCGAGTCTAGGTCTTCAAAACTCTTGAGCGCGGAAAGATTTACTAGTACCTACGCGCTTCACTTGGAAGAGCCCGTCCGACCCGAATGCTTGGGAGATGCCGAAATTTGCGCGCATCGCGCTCCGCGATCCGCCACGCGCGATCATCTTCGCGCCCTCGCGCCCTCGCATCGCCCCCCAGGAGAAGGGCAGCTCTGCAGTCCGGGCCGCTGACAGGCAAATAGAGATACCCCTGACCCTTTTGGAGGGGGCCGGAGTTAGGAGGGCCAGGTACGTGGAGGATAAGGGTCTTCAGAAGAAGCAGAAACAACTGCAGAAACACAAACTTCTGGCTCTCCGCGCGGATTTTTTGGATCCGCGATGGACACCCCTCCGTGGCGCGCGGAGCGCGCCAAGGGCGGCGCCGGAGCCAGGGGTGCCCAGCGCGGATCCAAGAAATCCACGCGGAGCGCCAGAAATTTATGTTTATGCAATTGTTTCTTCTTCGGTTTGTTGTGCACATGTTTTAAACGGTACCACTCAGATGCTGAGGGATACCCATGCAAACCGGGGGCCTAAGCCAGACCCCCGACGTCCCATTCCCGGGGCCACCTGCCAAGATTGATTCATGACCAGAGTGGGTCTGGGGTTAGGGTTAGGTCGGGCGTCCCCCTACAGGCGGATTTTGGGCGAAGAATGAGAATAACAAGAAAGACCCGACAATTGGCAAGAGAATTCAAAAATCGTGTCAATAATATATATATATGTTTAATAGTTTCGCGTCTTAACCTTAGGGGTCGTACTATCGGAGGTGAGGGGATGAGATCGAAGTGGAACGGGGAGCCCCCCTACTGGGAAATCGGCTTCGGTTTCGTATTCGCGCGTGCCGTGCGTGCGGGCGAGGCGAAGCTGCGTGGGCGGGCGAGAAGATAGTCTCCTCCGGCTGAAGCGTGGCCAAACCAAATGATTCCTTTCCGGGGGCTGGTAGCGCGCGGTGTCCCGCCAGTGTCCCGCCTCTGGCTGAGGCGCGGTCAGACCAAATGAATCCTTTCCGGGGGCCGGTGGCGCGCGATGTCCCGCCAGTGTCCCGCCAGTGTCCCGTCGGTGTCCCGATGATGATGATGATGATGGTGATGATGATGATGATGATGATGATGATGTCGACGATGTTGTTGTTGATGGTGTTGATGATGATGATGATGATGGTGATGGTGGTGATGTTGATGGTGCCCCGATGATGATGATGATGTTGGCGAACTTGTTGATGATGATGATGATGATGATGATGATAATGATGGCGGTGATTGTGCTGATAATGGTGTCCCGATGATAACGTTGATGGTGATGATAGTGTTGCTGATGATGATGGTGTCCCGATGATGATGATGTTGATGATCCGGGTGATGTTGATGATGATGAGTTGATGATGCTGATATGATGATGATGATGATGGTGTTCGGGTGATGACGATGAGGTTCATGATGAAAATGTTGATGCTGATGGTGGTGATGAGGCTGTCCCGATGATGATGTTGATGATGATGATGATTGTGTCCCGATGATGATGTTGTTGATGATGAGGATGATGATGCAGTGATGAAGATATTTTTGATGGTGGTGGCCCCATGAAAGTGATGATGCTGATGCGGATGTTGATGATGATGGCGTCCCGATGATGAGGATGGGGATGATGGTGATGTGACGATGATGATGGTGTCCCGATGGTGATGAACGCTTGGATGATGATGATGTTGCTGATGATGATGGTGTTCCGTTTCTGATGATGATGTTGTTCATGGATATGATGGGATTGTGATAATGATGGTGGTGCTTTTCCGATGATGATGTTGATAGTGATGATTGTGTTGCTGATGATGATGGTGCCCCGATGATGATGATGATGTTGATGATGATGATGTTGATGATCCTGATGATGTTGAATATGGTGGGATGATGATGATATGATGATGGTGTGCAGGTGATGACGATGAGGTTCATGATGAAGATGTTGATGATGATGGTGATGATGATGCTGTCCCGACGATGATGTTGACCATGATGATGACGATGATGGTGTCCCGACGATGATGTTGTTGATGATGAGGATGATGATGCAGTGATGAAGATATTTTCGATGGTGGTGGCCCCATGCAGGTGATGATGATGATGCGGATGTTGATGATGATGGTGTCCCGATGATGATGGTGATGGGGATGCTGATGATGTGACGATGATGATGGTGTCCCGATGGTAATGACGGTTGGGATGATGATGATGCTGATGATGGTGTTCCTTTTCTGATGATGGTGATGATATTGTTCATTAAGCTGATGATATTGTGATGATGATGATCGTACTTTTTCGATGATGATGGTGGTGATGATGGAGCCCCGATTATGATGATGTTGATGATGATGTTGATGATGATGATGGTGACGATGATCGCGTCCCGATGATGGTGGTGATGATGATGATGTTGATGATGATGGTGGCGAGGTGATGATGGTGATGGTGTCCCCGTGATGGTGATGATGATAATTCGGCTGATGACGTTGATGACGATGATGTTGATGATGATGACGTTGATTGTGAAGTCGATTATGATATCGATAGAGAGATCGATGGCGGGACCGGATGTGAGACCGATTGTGAGATCGATAGTGAGATCGATGGTGAGATCGATTGTGGGATCGATTGTCATATCGATTGTGAGATCGATCGAATGGAATAGGTCGAGTGAGATCGGTTGTGAGATCGATCGAGTGAGATCGGTCGAGCGAGACCGATCGCGAGATCGATCGTGCGACCGATCGGGTGAAACGTTGGTTCCTCCCCCCCCCCGAACCTCCTTGTCACCCGAAGGGTGGTCGTAGAGGTACTTCATGCTACCCCGGCGCACGGACCGCGATCGCCTTCGCGCCGCCGCGGCCCCGCTCGCGAGGCCTCTGGGCGATAGCCGCGCGGGGCCCGCCCGCGCGCCGCGCCGCCCGGGCGTGCTCGCTGCCTGGGCAGGCGCGACGCGCCACCCGCGCCGCGGCCGCGCCGAGCTCTCGGACGACCGGCGGGCTGGAAACACTTTTTTTTGGTCGCGGGCTGACGCGGAATCGCAGTCGCCGAGCTGAGAGGTCCGGGCCACGGGCCTGTCAAATTAGCAACGCGACGCGCGAGCCTAGGAGCACAGCGGCCGAGCCCGCGGACTGGAAACACAGGAGGGGCCCAGCTTTTTGTTCTCGTCGGCGGCGAGGCGGGGCAGTCCGCACCAGCGAAGGAGCGAAGCTGGGGCACTGCTAGGCGGACTGTCCGGCGTGCAGGAAGGGCCGGGGCACTGCTAGGCGGATTGTCCAGCGTGCAGGAGGGGAAGGAAGACAAAGAAACCGCGGGCAGAAGGTGAGGAGGAGGCACTCAGATGCGGCATAATTCCACCAGGACGCAAATCAACATGCACAAGGTCTCAAATCCCCCATATGCTTCAATCTTCTCTGGATTTGGGACTTTTCCCCGGCACCACACATGTCCCCATCTCTTCCTGGAGATCGACGTTTCTCTGTGTCTGTGCCTATTTTCCCCTCGTGGACACCAGCCTGGTGCAAGGTGTCCAAACACGGACACCGTGCACCCCGCGCGCTGGGTTCCGTGGGCGAGCCCCGCGGCTCGCCATGCTCGCGCCGCGCTGGGACAACCCCTCGGAGCACACCACAGCCCCAGCGGTCTCGGACGCGTCCGACGCGGCCACGGGCAGGTCCACGCCGAGGCGCAGGCCAGCGACGCACGACCCAGAAACGGGCCATCGTCACGAGCAGGTCCTCGACCGCGCCGATGGACGTCCTGCCCCCGGCGCGAAGCGCCCCGCCAAGGCCAAGCGCGCGCTGACAAAGGCCGCGGCCAGAGGCCGTCTGCGAGCAGCAGCGGGTGCGCACCCGGCGCCCGGGCAGGCACACACACACTGCAGGAGGCGGCTCCTGCGGCGCCTCTTGCCCAGCTATAGGGCCCGCGGCCTCGGGCCGCAGAGCTCCGCGATGCGGCCAACAGCGGCGGCCGCCGGCGGCCCTCGAGCCCGGACCCCCCTTCCAAGGTCGGCGTAAGACAAGGCTAGGATCGGGATAAATCGCTCCAGAGCGGCCGCGGCGCCCACATCCTCCAAACCCGCCGCTTCTCAGAGATCTCGAGTTATCCCGATCCGGTTTTGTCGACCCGATCTTCGCGTCGTTTTGCGGCGCCCGGGCGGCGCGGAGCACGCCCCTGCTGCGCGGGAGCCCGCCGCGGCGCCAGAAAGACCCGCTCGCCTATGGCCTCGGCCGCACGGCCCTCGCCCTGCCGCTCGGCTGGCCTCTCGGACGCGCGGGCACTCGCACGTCCAGCGGCGACCGCCACCGCCGGGCCCATCGCAGCCGCGGGGGCGCGCGCTGACCCCAGACCCCCTCGAGTAATGAAAAAATCATGACGGGAGGTTTTTCCTAATTTTCGGCCTCCGGGGGCCCTCACCGGGCCTCGGGAGCGTCAAAAAACGACTCAGGATGCAAAGCCAGTCGTGGGGAAAGGGTCGGGACATCTGGGGGTCGACGTAGTGAAAAAATCATTACGTCGGGGGTCTGGGACCGCCGCGGCGTGCTCCCGCGCAGGTGAGACGTCGTGCCCGCCGTGGTGATCCAGCCAGCCCCGATCGCCCTGGGGCAGATGTGGGCGGGCTCGACGCCGTCCCCACCGCCAACGGGGCGTCGGGGGGCGACGGCCGTGAAGGGCCGCCGGGCCGGGGGGGCCCGGGGCGCGCAGGAGAAAGCCGTCCCTGCCGGCCCCACTCCAGAGCACGCCTCCTCCCCTTCGGTCAGGGCAAGCCCGTTGAGCTGCCCCATCCCAGAGATCCGACGTCGTGTTTTTGTTCCATGCGCGGTCCCCCGAAGTCTCGACCCATTCCTCAGGACCGGTTTTTCATCCTGAGTCGTTTTTTGACGGTCCCGGGGCCCGGCGAGGGCCCCTCGAGGCCGAAAATCGAAAAACACTTCCGTCTTTTTTTTGTTCAATATTTACGTTAGAGGTCTGGGGCGTCTCCCGCAGCGCAGCGCCAGCAGGCGCTGGCCCACGCCGGGTTGGCGATGGGCCTCGCAGCGGGGCGCGCCTCGCCGTTGGCGCACGCCGCGGGCTCGTCGCGCGCACGGGCCGCGCCGGCGCTTCCCAGACGCCTCCGAGGCGGCCAAGATGGCCCCGAGGCGGCCCAAGAATTCCTCCGGACGGCCCACAGAGAGGCCCCCAAGAAGCCCCAGGAGGGCTCCACGAGGATCTCCAGGATGCACCACTAATTGATGATCTCCGTCGGGGGGCGACGGCCCCGAGAGGGCCGCAAGGCGGCCTCCGAAGGCGACGACGATGCCCCAAGAAGCCCCCAGGGGGGCTCCCAAGAAACACCAGGAGGCCCCCCAAGAACCGCCTCGGAGACCCAGAAGAGACTCCCTGGAAGCCCTCAGGAAGGCCCCACACGGGGCCTCGCGAGGCCTCCTCTTCCTCGTCCTCCTTGTCCTCGTCCTCGCCTTCGTCCTCGCCCACTTCCTTCCCTCTCCCTCTCCCTCTCCCTCTCTCTCTCCCTCTCCCTCTCCCTCTCTCTCTCCCTCTCTCTCTATCCCTCTCTCCCTTCCTTCCCTCTCCCTCTCCCTCTCCCTCTCTCTCTCTCTCCTCCTCCTTTCTCTCCTTCTCCGGAGTACTCCTCGAAGGGCTCCCACAGCGACTGGGGGAGCACATCGTCCGACAGCGTGGCCGCGCTCTGGGGCCACCACGTTTGGCCGCGCGGGCGCTCCCACAAAAGCAGGAGACGGCGGGGACTCGCCGCATGCGCCGTCGGTGCGAAACTCGTCTTTTCAATCCACTACCGGACGCGTCGCCACGGCGGGGAGGCGTCCTGCGCGGGCATGGCCTGGAATGCCGCCCAGAACGCGCCCTGATCGGGTCAAATCTCACACGGCTGCAGCGATGGAGGGAGGGTGGCCATGCACTTTGCCTCCCGTCTCGATGTCGCCCACATCGCTCCCAGACGTCACGCCGATGGAGGGCGGCCACCTCTCGAGCAGATCGTGCCGCCGATGTCGAGAGCAGCGGCACCGATGAAAGGCCATCCAATGTCGAAAGTGGCGCTTTGGCACAACATTTTGTCGAACCTGAATGCAATCGTAGTTTCAAGCTGCGGAAGCGGTGACGTTTCCACCTGTCCAGTCCACACAGGGCCGCTTCGCCTTGCAGGGCCATTGGTTGGTACCCTTCCTGGAGGGAGACAACTGAATAAACATAGACGTTTGAAGCTCCGCGCGGATTTATTGGATCTGCGCTGGACCCCCCCGCCTTTCGCCTTGCCAGGTCCGGAGCATGCGGCAAGGCGGCAAAGATCTCGTCGACCATATGGACCATTCCATACGCTGCTCGCCGAAATGGTACACATGTACCCGCTCATGTTGTATAGCCGGTCTGTTTGTGCAACTGCAAGTGAAGCAGAAGCTGTTAGACAAAGACAGAGTTTGCTCCGTAGCCAGTGGCTCAAAGAACCCCTGGTGAGCTGGGTGGCTCGGTGGGCTGGCATGCCGGTCTGCAGGGGCGCCCCCGTGACTGGAATGTGCCTCCACGGCGGGGCCGTAACAGTCTGCACGCGGTAGATTTGGCACACTCATCTTCCCCCCCTCCCCACTCTCGGGGAGACGTATGCCTCGGGTACGGGGAACCCGGGTTGGCCTGACGGGGCCATCATTAAAAATGGCGAGGCCCAATCTAAAAGTTGACGCGAGCTCCCGCTGCAAGCATCCCGCGGAAGCTGAACCGTCAAAATCCAGGACGCGCGCGTCAAGAGACGTTGGGAAACCCGAGTTCTGGCTTGCTCGAGTCATACGGCTCCCCGACCTTCATCCTCCCCGGCCGCTGCGCACGCCGCCGATGTCTGCCCGTCAATGTGTTTATTTTTGGTAAGAGGCGCAGTCCCGATAGGAAACGCAGAGTGCCTCGAGAGCTCACCCACGGCGCGACCGCACGAAGAATGCCTCGAGAGGACTACGTCGCCCAGCACTCCGCTGTTCGTCGGCGAGCGGAGTGGGGGGGAAGTGAGAGGGAGAATGCCTTCTCCGGGAAACGAAGAAAGCCTCGAGAGCGCACTCACAGCGCGCAGTATGACCGCCACCGAGCACTCCGCATCGCGATGGTACACCTGCGGGGGCACACCTCTGGTGGCAATCCGCCACGGGGCCGTCACAGGCTGCACGCGGCAGACTTCGCACACTCCTCTTCCCCCCTTCCTCCTCCTCCTCCTCCTCCTCCTCCTCCCCCTCCTCCTCCTCCTCCCCCTCCTCCTCCTCCTCCTCCTCCTCCTCCTCCTCCTCCTTCTCCACTAAACTAACCAGCGCAGCGTTTCACCCTCCATTTCGCGTCGCTGCTTGAGACTGTGCTCCCGCCCACGCGCCGGACGGCGTATGGCGTTGAGTGAGTTCCCCCACCCTCCCCATTGGTCTTCCCCGAACCGCCGCGCACGCCGCCGAGGTCTGCTCGTGAATGCCTTTTTCTGGTGCGGCGCAGTCCCTGTAGGAAGCGCACGGCGCGCAAGCACGGCCCACCGGGGGGCACACACACCCGCGGTGGCACTCCGCCGCCGAGCACTGCGTCGCCCCACGCCGCCGGCGCCCGTGCGCGGCGGCGCGCTCCGGGGAGGGGGAAGGTGGGAAGAAGAAGGCCTCCTCGGCGAGGCGGCGGGGCTTCTCAGAAGCCCTCGCGCCTTCTTGAGAGGTGCTCTGGGTCTGTATTCGGGGCAGGCTTCGCAGACTTCGCAGAAGGCCGCGGGACTGTCGAGCCTGCAGCGAGGGCCCGGCTCTGTTCAATGCCCCCCCGCCGCCGCTCGCCGGCGACGGGGGAGAGAGCAGAGAGGGAGAAGCAAGCAGACGACGAAACGCGCAGGCGTGAGGCCAGGGCAGGAGGGACGAGGCAAGCGGGCGGGCAGGCGGGAAGGGGCGGAGGGCAGACAGCAGGCAAGGAGCCATGGGGCGGAGGGGCGAGGGACCTACGTGCGGTCATGCCGCAGAAGCTCCGTCGGCAGAAGACCGACGCATCTGTCTCGAGGGAGCAGGCGGAGGAGGAGGGAGAGGAGAAGCCTATTTACAGAGCGCCTACGGGCATCCAACTTTTTTCAACTGTACACTGCTCGGCGGCTATCCGCCTACCGAGCTCTGGCCGCACACGGCGCGAACGGAAAAACACAAGCCCGCTTTGCCAGAAGCCGGTGGCCTACTCGTCTGTGCGCCACTCCGCATCGTCTCCTCTCTCGTAGAACTCCTTCCACTCGGGGAGGACAACAGGCTCCTCTAGGCGATCAACATTCTATCCATATGCCGATGCTCACGCAGCAACCCCTGCGATGGAGCAGCATGGGGGCATGGGCACATGGACAAAGACCCCCATGCATGGATACTTGGAGACATGGCCTCTGGAGCCAGGTCCTGCTTCCGTGTCATGCGCCCTTGGCGTTCCGAGTTGGAGGCAACTCCAAGGGCATCGATAACATAAAAAGACGCACACCCCAGACACGGCCACAGGGGCAACCGTCAGGGAGGGGAAGCTGGCAAAAGATGAAAAGGAGAGAGGAGGAGGAGGAGGAGGAGGAGGAGGAGGAGGAGGAGGAGGAGGAGGAGGAGGAGGAGGAGGAGGAGGAGGAGGAGGAAGGAGAGAGAGAAGGAGAAACGTAATCAAACCGTCGGGGGTCCGCGCGGATCTCTTGGACCAGCGCTGGGCCCCAAGGGCAGCGCGGGAGAGGCGCCGCATAAGGGGGGCCCGATGCCGATCCGAGGAGCCCGCGCGGAGGCCTTCGCAAGCCTGGGATTATGCTAAAATGGAAGGGGCCCACAAGCACACACATATAAATACACACAAATACAAAGATTCCCGATATTTTCCCATATTTTCTGGATTTCTGTCCTCCCCCCCACTTCCCATATTTTCCTCCTATTTTCTGGATTTCTGTCCTCCCCCCCACTTGCCATATTTTCGCAGATTTCCTGAGAGTCGACGAATACTTGTGTCTGTGTGTGTTGTTTCCCCTCCTGAAAAATGGTTGTTCTTCCCTCGCGACAAACCAATATGGTCCTTACGACGTGTATTAGTGCCAACGTGGTGTGATTGTCCGCCGACGCCGCTTCGATACGCCGCAGGCAGGCTGCGAGCTATCGGTGGACGGGGCTGGACCTATACGTTGTGCTTCGTCTTGTGATCGTTTTGTTGTTCCTTTTGCCCTACCTTTTTGCTCCTGTACCTCCCTGCCATAACGGAAAACAAAACACAGCCGACGTCCAGCAAAACTGCGCTTAGGTCCGGCCCTGCCGGTGGAGCTGAACGAGGGTGACACACACATTGGGTTCTAAAACACATCCTGGGAAGGATCGAACAGAGCGTCGACCGCACCGAGCCTGGCCCTCAAATCTGCACGAACAAAAAACGCTCGGAGGTCCGCGTGAATTTCTTGGACCTGCGCCGGACCCCACTCCCTGGAGCGCGGAGCGCGTACTGGCGCCGCCTTGGGGGACCCAGCGCCCAGCGTCGCTCCAAGAAGTCCGCGCAGAAACCTCCGACAGTTTACGCGGATGCTTCTTCTTCTCCTCCGACCAGGGAGACATGAGACTCGGGTTCGGGTGACTCGGGTTGGCCTGACGGTGCCGTCAGGTAAATGACGAGACCCGGTATGACGCAAGCTCCCGCTGGAAGCATCCCACGGCAACTGGAACGTCGAAGCTCAGCACGGGCCCGCCAAAAAGCGTCGGCAAACCCGAGTTCCGGCGCACTCGCTTCGGCCTGCAGCGGGCTCGGTCCACCAAGTGGTACGCGCGCAAGAAAAGTGCTTCCGCGTCGCATTCGGCGATCGGGGGGGCCCATTGGGCCCGCACCGCTGGTCACTCCAGCGAGGGGTCGCTCTTACGTGCAGCCGAAGAAGGGAGGCCGCAGGGCACCCGGCGAACTCTCGGGGTGTGCCCGGCGAGGTCTGGCAGACTCGAGTCCCACGTTTCTCCGATCCGATGCAAGGCGCAGATGGCCGATCCTCGCCCTCGACCCTGGAGTAGAGGTACCTCGGGGAGGCCCGAACTGAGCATCGTCTCGCCGACCCCTATCCCCCTGGGCGTGGCCTGGGCCCTGGGCCGATGTACCCCCTAGAGGAGGAGGAGGAGGAGGAGGAGGAGGAGGAGGAGGAGGAGGGAAAGGAGGAGGAGGAGGAGGAGGAGGGAAAGGAGGAGGAGGAGGAGGAGGAGGAGGAGGAGGAGGAGATCTCGAGGCGTGCAGTCCCAACTGGGGTGCTGAGATGGTGGGGGTCTGCACAGGGACAGGGGTCGGCCCAACGAGACTGACAAAAGCGTACCCCCGGGACGCCGTGCCCCCCGTGAGGTGTCTCAGCGGCCACGCTTCCAGCCCTGCGGGGGCGCCCAGACGCAGCCGTGGAGCGCCCCGAGGTGGGCCTCTCGAGGGCACGCATGTCCTGGGGTGCGGCAGGTTCGTGCCGTGCCGACCCCGGCGCTGGTTCCTGACACCGCGGGAGTCCTTCAGCCCTGAGCGATCGGCCGTTCCCGAAGCGTCCGATCGTTCAGCATCGACCGATTCTGGGCCGCTGGCGGCGTTGGACGTTTTACTGGCGCGTGCACGGGGGGTGGGGGGAGGGGGGAAGACTTCTTAGAAGGAGGCTGCGTCTTAGGAGGCGCCAGCCCTACATCTGGATCGCCGCCGGTCGAAAGGGCGCGGTGCCTCCCGACCGTGCTGGTGCCCGCGCCCGCGCGCGCAACCGCCCCGCCACGCGCCGTCACGGCAGGGTCGCCGTCGCCGTCGCCGTCGCCGTCGCCGTCGCCGTCGCCGTCGCCGTCGCCGTCGCCGTCGCCGTCGCCGTCGTCGTCGTCGTCGTCGTCGTCGTCGTCGTCGTCGTCGTCGTCGTCATCGTCGTCCCGAGGGCACGTCGGTGCTGTGAGGTACGCTTGTTGGGGAACGAACAATGACATCAACGTAACAATTCGGAGGTCCGCGCGGATTTCTCAGACCCGCGCTCGACCCCCCTCCCTGGCGCACGGAGCGCGCCAGGGGCGGCGCCGGAGGCGGCGCCAGGGGGCTCCAGCGCCGATCCGAGCAATCCGCGCGGACCTCCGAGCTCTCATGCTTCTGCCCTTGTTCGCTACCCTGGTGTGGCCTTATTATGGGCCCTGGAAACGACAGGGCCGTTTTTGTTACCGGTTCCGTTTTGCCGTTTTTTTTCCCGGTTCCGACGCCGGTTTGGCTCCGTCGCCGTTTTTTGACCGGTTCGGGCTCCGGTTCCAATCCTGGAGCCGTTTCTTTGCCGTTTCCGGTCGCCGCTCTTTTGCCGTTTCCACTTTGAAAGGCCATTTGTTTGGAAACGGTGTTCCTTTTCCTGTGCAAGCTCCTCGGCACCGCCTGCACCCCGGGCCCCGCCCTCCTCGGCCGCCTGAGGCCCCGCCCGCCTTTGCCCTGTCTCCCCAATTAAAGCTGTGCGTAGCCCGCCTAGCTTTTATCGGAAGAGGTTCGCTCTCGCCCCGCAGACCCAAACAAATTGATGGGAAACGGTGAAACCACGGCCCTGCCGTTCCTTTGGACGCCCGAAATGGGTACGGAAAAGATGGGTACAATGCCCAAAAACAAATGTTGTCCCGAAGCAACAGCGGCCGCTGTTGGGCGGGCGGCCTTCCGTCTCGAATGGACACAGGCCGCGGCGGCGTGGACAGCGAGCCCTGCTCACAAAAGCACAGGAACTGCTGTTGGGCAGTGTGCCCCTTCTTTCCGTACCCACTTCGTTCGTGCAGAGCTCCCGGGGCCCACCCCAGACCCCCGACGTAATGATTTTTTCATTACGTCTGACTCCCAGATGCCCCGACCCTTTCCCCATGACCGGCTGCTTTGCATCCTGAGTCGTTTTTTGACGCTCCCGAGGCCCGGTGAGGGCCCCCGGAGGCCGAAAATTAGGAAAAACCTCCCGTCATGATTTTTTCATTACTCGAGGGGGTCTGGGACTCGAGGCCGAAAATCGAGAAAAACCTTCGTCTTGATCTCTTCAATACGTTGGAGGTCTGGGGTGGCCCCCTCCCGGCGCACCTCGCCCGCCCCGCGGCCCTGCCGGGCCCCTCCTCCGCGGCGCGCTCGTGCCCGCGGGCCTCCCCGTGCGGGGGGGGCGTCCCCGGCGCCTCGCCGCGCGCCGCGCCGCGGGCGGCGCGCACCTCTTGAGGCGGCGCGCGCGCCCGACGCCCCCCCGGAGGAGGAGGAGGAGGAGGAGGAGGAGGAGGAGGAGGAGGAGGAGGAGGAGGAGGAGGCGGAGGCGGAGGAGGAGGAAGAGGAGGAGGAGGAGGAGGCTGAGGCGGAGGGGCCAAAACTGGGGGAGGGGCAAGCGAGGGCGGGGGGTGGGGGCGGCGACAAAGGAGGGGGGGGGGGGGGGGCGGGGGGGCGACGAGTGAGGGGAGAAGGGGCTGCGACACATGAGGGGTGGGGCAAGAGAACTACTTGTTCAAAGAGTGTCCTCTCCTGTAGAGGGACGCGCCCGCCTAGAATTCGTCCCTTGTGCCTGTGCCTGTTTCTAGGGGAACAAAAAGTGGCAGAAGCATAAAAACTCGGAGGTCCGCGCGGATTTCTCGGATCCGCGCTCGACCCCCCTCCCTGGCGCACGGAGCGCGCCACGGAGGCGCCGCCAGGGGGCTCCAGCGCCGTTCCGAGCAATCCGCGCGGACCTCCGAGTTGTTATGCTTTATGCCACTTCTTGTTCCCCTCCTCGCCAGGAGGAGAAGGAGGAGGAGGAGGAGGAGGAGGAGGAGGAGGAGGAGGAGGCGGAGCGGAGGAAGGAGGAGGAAGAGGAGGAGCATGAGGAGGAGGAGGAGGAGTAAGAGGAGGCGGAGGAGGAGGAGGAGGAGGAGGAGGAGGAGGAGGAGGAGGCGGAGAGGGAGGTCCCGACGCCTGCGCGCCCCCGCCCCCCGACGCTCCGCGGCCCTCGCCGCGGGCGGCGGGCCCCGCGGCGGGCTGCGAGCTGGGCGCGGGGGCGGGCTCCGGGCGGGCGAGGTGCCCCACGGCCCGGTGCAGCTCCGCGAGCCAGGAGGGCAGCGCGCCCTCCTCCTGCGCGGGAGGGCCCAGAATCGTGAAGGGGCCCTGGGACACACAAATCAACACACACAGAGAAATTAAAGGATTCCCCATAGTTTCCCATATTTTCTGGGTGGTTGTCTTCCCCCCACCTCCCATAGTTTCCCATATCTTCTGGGGAACCGCCGATTCATTGTGTCTGTGTGCTCCTTTCCCTCCTGAGAATCGGCAAGTCGGATCGGCGATCGAAGTGGATTGGATCGGTGGAGGATCGGCAGCCGAGTCGGCAGCTCGGGCAGGGCCGCGGCGCAGCTCGAGAGCGAGCAGATCGGTGCAGCTCCGCGAGCCTAGGAGGGCAGCTCGCCCTCCTCCGGGGTGGGAGGGGGCAGCGACGAGGGGCAACAGGCCCAGAGCCCCTCGGGTCATGAAGGAATCATGACAGGACAAGCGCGTTCCACGACTCGCAAACAAAAACTATTCGCAGGTGGCCTGGATCCGCCGCGGGGGACTCACGATCCATTGCATAGAGGACGACATTCTTTCCGGACGGCAGCGAGGAGGGTTAGGTCGGGCATGTCCTCCTACGGGCGCATTGTGAAAGGAACAAGAAGAAACAAAACAACAGATCAAACACATTGTCCAACAAGAACCAAAAATAGTCCAACAGTCGTCCCCAAACTATTTTTGTATGATTTGTGGATACTCATCCTGTAGAGGGACATGCCCGGCTTATGATGAGCGGCTTCAGACACACGCAGGGCTGCGAGCTGCTCCCAAACCTGGCTCAGCCAAAGCCCAGCTGTGCAAGATCATCCAGGATCCGGCCCTCTGGCTGAGGCCCGGTTGCGTTGAGCCGCATTAACAGCTGGATGAAGTTTGTGAGACTCCGCGGCCCTGGCCCTGATGTAGAGGGGCACACAGCGGAACAAACATATGTTTGCCAGCGTGGACCCCAATCAGGAAGTTATTTCACGGTGTATGCGTACGATACGAAGCCCACGATGCCTGGTGGCAACGCGCGAGGCGACAACGACGCCGCAACGGGCGGCATCGCGGCGAATCCTCGACATACACACGACGCACAAGGCGGAAGCGAGGCGACATCGACGCGGCAACGAGCGACAATGGGCGGCAACGTGGCGAACCCTCGACATCCCCACGCAACGCACGAGGCGGCATCGAGGCGGCATCAACGCGGCAACGCGCGGCAACTGGGCGAACCAAGGACATGCCCACACTGCGCACGAGGTGGCAACAAGTCGGCAACGAGGCGGCAACGGGTGGCACTTTGAAGCAACGTGGCGAATTCCCGACATGCCCACACAGCGCCCGACGCGGCAACGAGGCGACAACGGGCGGCAACCGGCGGCAACGTAACGAACCCTCGACATACACGGACTGCGCACGACGCGGCAACGAGGCGGCAACGAGCGGCAACGTGGGGAATGATCGACTTACCCACAGTGCGCACGAGGCGGCAACGAGGCGGCAACGGGCGGCAACGTGGCGAATCCCCGACGTACCCACACTGCGCACGAGGCGGCAACGAAGCAGAAATGGGCGGCAACGGGCAGCAGCAACGTTGCGAATCCCTGGCATTGCCCACACAACGCACGAGGCGGCAACGAGGCGGCAACGAGCGACAATGGGCGGCAACGTGGCAACTCCTCAACATACCCACACAACGCGCGAGGCGGCATCGAGGCGGCAACGAGCGGCAACGGGCGGCAACGTGGCGAATCCCCGACAGACCCACGCTGCGCACGTCGGAAACGGGCCGCAACGGGGCGAACCCTCGACGTACAGAGACTGCGCACGTCGCGGCAACGACGCGACAACGGGCTGCAACCGGCGGCAATGTGACGACTCCTCAACATACCCACACAACGCACGCGGCGGCAACGAGGCGGCAACGAGCGGCAATGAGCGGCAACGTGGCGAATCCTCGCCATGCTCACCAGCGCACGGGGCGGCAACGAGGCGGCAACGGGCAGAAGAGGACGGCAACGCGGCGACTCCTCGGCATACCCGCGCTGCGCACGTGTCGGCAAGGGGCGGCAACGTGGCGAGTCCTCGACACACCCCCGCAACGCACGTCTCGTAAGCGAAGCGACAACGGGCGGCAACGTGGCGAATCCCCGACATACCGACACTGCGCACTGCGCGGGAACGAGACGGCAATGGGCTGCAACGGGCGGCAACGTGGCGAACCCTTGCCACACGGACGCTGCGCATGAGGCAGCAACGACGCGGCGACGGGCGGAACGGTTGCGAATCCTCAACATACCCACGCTGCGCACGAGGCGACAACGAGGCGGCAACGGGCGGCAACGTGGCGAATCCTCGACATCCCCACGCTGCGCACGAGGCGACAACGAGGCGGCAACGGGCGGCAACGGTTGCGAATCCTCGACATCCCCACGCTGCGCACGAGGCGACAACGAGGCGGCAACGGGCGGCAACGTGGCGAATCCTCGACATCCCCACGCTGTGCACGAGGCGACAACGAGGCGGCAACGGGCGGCAACGTGGCGAATCCCCAACATTACCCACACAACGCACGAGGCGACAACGCAGCAGACATGGGCGGCACCGGGCGGCAGAGTGCGGCAACGAGGCAGAAACGGGAGGCAACGAGGCGGAAATGGGCGACTCCGCAACCTACTGACACAGCGGCAACGAGGCGGCAACGGGCGGCAATGGGCGGCAACGTGGCGACTCCTCGACATATCAACACAGCGCACGACGCGGCAACGGGCGACAACGTCGCGAACTCTCAACATACCCGCACTGCGCACGATGCGGCAACGACGCGGCAACGTGGCAAATCATCGACAGACCCACACAGCGCACGAGGCGGCAACGAGGCGGCAACGAGGCGACATTGAGGCGACAACGAGGCGGCAACGTGGCGAGGTCTCGGCATGCCCACACAAGTACGAGGCGGCAACGAGGCGGCAACGAAGCGGCAACGTGGCGAGTCCCACATCTACCTATACAGCGCGCGAGGCGGCAACGAGGCGGCAACGGGCGGCAACGTGCCGAATCCTCGACATACCCACACAACGTACGAGGCGTCAGCGGGCGGCAATGGGCGGCAATGGGCGGTAACGTGCCGAACCCTTGACATACTCACACAACGCACGAGGCGGCAACGATGCGGCGACGGGCGGCAACGTGGCGAATCCCCGATATACCCACGAGGCGGCAACGGGCCGCAACGGGCGGCAACGTGGCGACCCTTCAACATGCTCACGCAGCGCACGACGAAGCAACGTGGCGGCAACGGGCGGCAACGTCGCGAATTCTCAACATACCCACGCTACGCACGATGCGGCAACGACGCGGCAACGGGCGGCAACGCGGCGAATCTCCCGACATACCCACACAGCGCACGAGGCGGCAGCGGGGCGGCAACGAGGCGGCAGCGAGGCGGCAACGAGAGCAGCGACGCGGCGAGACCTCGAAACACTCGAAGGCCCCCCGAGTGCGAGCACTGCTTCGGGAAAAAAATCTCGGAGGACCGCGCCGCTGTCTTTTACCAGCCTGGAACATATCCCGATCCCTATGCTGGGCACCTCCTCATCACGATGCCAGTCTTAGGGATTCCCTTATTTTTGAGGGCGAGTCCCTAAGATTGTCATCGCCTGTTGGCGTGTCAATCTTAGGGATAGGGATACGTTCGAGGCTGGTAAGGCTTGGATCGGCGCAAGGACCCCCTCCCAGAAGGCGCATGGAGCGCGCAAGGCGCTGCACCGAAGGCGCCGCCAGATGGGGCCGGGCCCATCGCCGACCGAATAATGCGGGATGACGATTCATTTAAAACAAATGGGGGGGAACGATTAAACAAAAAAAAGTCTTCTGCTATTTCTGCACAAATTTCTGACTGGAGGGGACGATTAAAAATAATAGTTTTCCAGCCCGCGGCCGGTTTTTTCTAATCGTCATCCCGGGCGCCGCCGCGTGACCACGACCCCCGGTCATCTATTAATCGCCATCCTCCATTACATCCGCGCGGGCCTCCGAGAAAGCCGCCGATCCCTGCTTGCCCCGGGGTGGAGAGGCGTGTGGGACATTCGGCTGTCCCCCTTCCCTGTGTGGGCCCCGGAAACGGCAGGGCCGTTTTTTTCACCGTTTCCCCCCCCCCAAAAAATGTCCCTTGAAAAACGGAAGCGGCAAAAAACGGCGACCGGAAACGGCAAAAAAACGGCTCCAGGAATTGGAACCGGAGCAGGAACCGGTCAAAAAACGGCGACGGAGCCAATAAAAAAACGGCGTCGGAACCGGCAAAACAAATGTTAAAACGGAACCAGTAAAAAAAAACGGCCCTGTCGTTTCCAGGGCCCACTAAGCCCCTTCCACTGTCCCCCTCCCTGGGGGTCTACAATGCAATTCTAAGGTGGAGGGGGGGAGGGGGGGGGGAGGGCACAAGCTCCTCAACGCACCGCCAGGCCCTCCTGAGCGCCCCAGAAATCCCCAAGGCAGCCCAACAGGGCCCAGACAGAGCGCCAAGACAGTCGAAGAAAGCGTCATGGCGGCCGAGGGTGGCCTCACGACGATCCAAGATGGCTTCAAGATGGCCCACGAGGTCCCCAAGACATCCCAAAAGCGCCTCCACAGCATCGCCGAGAGGGCCCGAAGAGTCCCAAACCACCCACTTTCCTTTAGAATAGTGCGTAACTATACAGCACATTCGCATATTACGTTTTGACGGCGAACACGACGGCACAAGTGGCCCCCAAGATCATCCCAATACGGCCCATGATGCCTCCAAGAAGGCCCCTAGACGGCCCAAGAGGGCCCAATGACAGCCCCAGGGCCCCACGAGGGCTCCAAGAAAACCCAAGATGGGGACTACGAACTGACATTTCGAGCCATTCCCACCGAGATGGCCCCTCGACTCGAGCCCCCCAAAGACCCCCGAAGGCCCTTCAAGAGACCCAAAGAGGCAACCAAGACGCCCCCAAGAACCGTCCCACGAGGCCCCCACGAGGTCCCCAAAAGCCTCTCACGTGCCCCCAAGATATTCCAAGAGGCCTCAGATAACTAGGTATCCCAAGAGACCCTCATATTAATCCAGGATGTTCCTGACCCAAGATAGAACTTCCACGACCATCTCAAACACTCATTCCGTGGCGGTCGGAAGAATGAGGTGAGCCACTTGAATCATGCTTCTGCAGTTCTCTCTTCTTCGACGATGCCCCCCTATATCGATGAACCTCAGAACTTGTGTTAGCGCCAACGTGTGCCGGTGCACCGAAACCCCTTTAGTACGATGCAGATCAGGCCGGGCGGATAACACACACACACATTTGGCTAACACACGTCCTGAGGATCATCGGCGAGAGTCCTCACCCCCCTCTCGGACACCCCAAACCTCTCCGATGATGTCCCCCCCAATGGTGGGGACGCCAAAAGGTACCGATACCCCTCCTCCCGGGACCTCTCCCAGGGTGCGTTCTGACAAGAATTTCGAGGTGGATCCAGCGGTGGCGACGAGGGGACGAGAGCCTCCTCCGAGGAGGCCCGAAAGAGGCCAAAACGAGGTCAGGGTATCGGCCTGGGCACCTCTTCCTCCTCTGACCAGTAGTCCTCACCCTCTTTGGACGCCCCAGACCTTCGGAGGCGTCCAAGAGGGGGGGGGGGGGGGGGGGGGGGGGCAAATCAGGGCCGGCGGCACGTGCGCGGCCCAGGGGGGAACCCGGGACGTATTGCAATAAGAAGAGGCGCCATGACATCTGGGGAGATCGGATGGCCCCCGCCATGAGATCCCCCCCCTAGCCATCACCCCCCTCTTTAACGCCGCCGCACCTCTCCCTCCCCGCCGCTCGCGCTGACCGCGGCGGCGCCGGCGGCGGCCGAGGCCCCCTCGGCCGCTCCGCAGGGCGGCCGCTGGTGATCCGGCTCGCCGCTCCCAGAGAGGAGCATCCTGTTGCTTCGCCTCGGAGGGGGAATGTCGCCGTCGTCGTCGTCGTCGTCGTCGTCGTCGTCGTCGTCGTCGTCGGCCTGAGGAGGGGTTGCCATGCTTGGGCAGTAGCCGTTCCTGCGCCTCCCTCTGGGTGAGGGGGAGCGTGGTGATGGAACATGGCGCCTCTTGACCCACGAGGGGACAGACTGCCACGAGAACGTGGACCCAGAATAAAGGGGCCCCGACACACACACAGACACACACACATAGATAGACACAAATCTCAGGACCCCCTATAATTTCTCGTACGTTCTGGGTTTCGTCTTCCCCCACACTTTCCGTTTGGGGTTTTTTCTTCTTCCCCCCGGGAGTCGACGATTGACTGTGTCTGGTGTGCTTATGTCTCCTCCTAAAAAACTCAGGCCCCTTCACCCCAGGCCCAAGGCCACCTGGAGATACCCCTGACGAGCCGCATTTTCAGGGTGCAGAGCCCAAGGAGTGCGCCCCAATTGTTACTATGAGGGGGAACGCTAGTATTATGTCGGGCATGTCCTCCTACAGGCAGATTTTGAGCGAAATTCCAATAATACCCAACTAATTCGAAAACTAATCAAAACATAATAGAAGAATCGTCCCAGACTATTTTTTACTACTTTTGAATACTCCTCTTGTGGAGGGACACGCTCGACGTACGGCTAGTGGAGGAAGAAAAAAAGGGACGAACATAAGCTTCCGACGGTCCGCGCGGATCGCCTGGATCTGCGCTGGCCACCCCTCCCTGGCGCGCGGAGCGCGCCAGAGGGCGTCGCCGCAGGCGCCGCCAGGGGGCTCCAGCGCAGATGCAAAGAAATCCGCGAGGACCGTCGAAAGCTTATGTTTATGTAGGTGTCATACAGATATCTACATATATTCTGATACATATATATATATATATATATATATTCGAACTAGGGAGGCACTGGTCCAGGGGGGTAACCATCACCCTGGGATCAGCGACGCGTCGCCGATTGATCTCGAGGATAGGCCGCGCCACTGCACGTTCCTGGGCGGGGTGGGCCTTCGGCCCCCTGTTGCCGATCACCGATGAATGAGCAATAGGGTGAGGTCGGGCATGTCTTCCTGCAGGCGGATGCTCGAGGAACAATTCAAAAGTAGCGAAGAAATCAACGGAACAAATATAATCAAAATTGTCAAAGATAGTAGGACAATCGTCCCCGACCTATGTTTGACTATTTTTGAACTTTCCTCCTGTAGAGGGACACGCCCGACTTACAGTCAGGGGTCAATGCATCCCCCCCTGAGCACATCCCCCCCCACCGGAGTCGGCTGCTCGAGCTCGACCCCGAGGCGCTGCCGCATGGCTCGACATTCTAAGCCGCGGCAGTGGGTCTGGCGGCCACGGGTCAGCGGGGAGGGGTGCAAATCTAGTACCTGCAAGAGTTGGCGCCCAGGTGCAGCAGCGGGCGCGCTGGAGGCAGTGATGACGCGTGGATGCAGTTGGGCATCCCGCCCCACATGCAAGTGCTGTTGCCCTTCCAGTAGGGCGTGCCTCCAACCCGAAACTCTTGCGCACCACTGCATGCAATCGTACAAGACAACTGAACTAGAGGCCTCCCAGACGGGGTTCGAGTAAATGTGGTCGAAGGATCGCGCTGCATCGCCGATGCATCGCCGATGCATCGGCGATTCATCGGCGACGTCGGCGATGCATCGGCGCCGTTGGCGTGGAGAACATCGGGCTTCACATCGAGCCGCACTGCCGATGCATCGGCGGTGGGGCGCGATCCCCCAACCCCATCTGCTCGGATCCGATCTGGGAGGCCTAGATGAACCGTGGCGCCTCTCGCCGCCGACGCATCTACACGACACCGACTGCTCCAGCTTCGACCAACACCTCCTGAACAGCAGGCCACACGGCTGCACGACCCCCGGCCAGTGAGCAGAGGCGTGCAGCCTCCGGGCCTGGCCCAAAGCTGGGCCCGTACAGGCCCCCCCTGAGCCCATGCCCCCAGGCGCTGCCCTCGACACCTCTTCTGCGAGGCGGGGGTTTGTCCACATCCACCGCCTGGGAACCGACGTCCTGGTGCCCCAGCGGGCGGTGGATGTGGATATATTTCGGCCCCTGGGGGCCCGAATATGTCCATATCCACCGCCTGCCGAGGCTCCGAAAACTGAGCCTCCAGGCGGTGGATATGGATACATTCCCGCCTCAGATCTTCGGTTGCAACTGATGGGAGCCTCCCAGGCCCTCCTGTTGGCTCTTGCGAAATCGACGCTGATCAACGCTCGTCGACGCCAACAAACGCTAACCGACGCCAGATCGACCGTAATCGATGCGATTCGAGGCTAAATGGGCGCTACCTCATTGATTACTAGACGCTAGGCGATGTCAGTCCACGCAAAAGACGGACTTGAGATGGTGCAGCCAACCCGTATAGTAAGGGATGCGCGGTGAGGATGCAAGGGCCTTGGACGCCCATTTCGAAGCTTTTCGAGCGGGGCGCGGCCAACGAAGCTGGCCAAGGATGGACCGAGGAAGCAAGGATGCAAGGGTACCCTTGGGGAGGTTGCCCGTCCTTACTATGCGGGTTAACTGTATACAAGGCTCCCGCGGTTTGCTACCGAATGGCTCCCAACTGGACTTCCCAATCCGACATCGCGAGCCTCGACGACACGAGCCGACGCGAGCCACGACACGTCGACGACGCGAGCCTTGACGTCGACCGAGGCCTCGACTGCGTGAGCACCTGTGATTGCCACGGCGCGAGGCGTTCAACCTTAGACGATGGCCGTGGCCTGGGGCTCCCAAGATGTGCTACTGAGCGCCTGTGCTGCATCAGCCACGGGGACAAACCTGTGGAAACCACAAGGTACCCATACGCAACGCTACTCCCCGGACCTCTCCAGGCATGCGTTCTGAGAAGGATTTCGAGTCGAATCCAGCGGTGGCGACGAGGGCCTCCCAGGAGGCCTACAAAGACGAAACACGCGGCAATGGCACCCGTACCGGTACCTCCTAGTCCTTCTCTGAACATGGCCCCCCTTCAGCCCGCCCCTCCCCAACGCTGCCCCCGACGCCTCTCCTGCACCATCTACTACCAGCCTGGAACATATCCCTATCCCTAAGCTGGGCATCGCCTCATCACGATGCCAATCTTAGGGATTCCCGTAGTTTTTCAGGGCGCATCCCTAAGATTGTCATCGCCTTTTGGCCTGTCAATCTTAGGGACAGGGATAAGTCCGAGGCTGGTGAACCTACGGGGACAAGCCCGCGGAGCAAGCATCCTCCCCCCCCCCCACTCTCGCTCCTCTCTCCGTCCCGAGCCTTGCCCCTCCTCCTCCTCCTCCCCGCTCCCCTCTCCGCCCCCCCCCGCCTCGAGGTGCCGCCTTCGCCCCCTCCAGCGCTGCCCCCCCCCCCCGGGCGCCTCTGCTGCAGCATCCACGGGGACAGGCCTGGGGAAGCCGAGAGGCACCGCCGCCGCTGCTCCCCGGACCTCTTCCGAAGGGCGCGCGTTCCGGCCGGGACTGCGGGGCACGTCCGGCGGTGGCGACGAGGGCCTCCGAGGAGGCCCAACACGGGGAAAACGAGGAGGAGGAGGGAGGAGGGAGGAGGGAGGAGGGAGGAGGGAGGAGGAGGAGGAGGAGGAGGAGGAGGAGGAGGAGGAGGAGGAGAAAGGCGGAGGAGCAGGATGAGGTCGAGGAGGAGGAGGAGGAGGAGGAGGAGGAGGAGGAGGAGGAGGAGGAGGAGGTCAAGGAGGGGAAAACGGGGAAGGGACAGAGCTACGGGTGCCTTTGCCTCCTCCGAGGAGCCTGCGAGCTCGTCGCCGCCGTCGCCCCCGCCCGCGCGGGCATCTCGCGGCGCGGCGGCGCCGGCCCGCAGCGGGGGCAGCATGGGGCGGGGCCCCACGGCGGGCGTCGCGGCGCGCGGGCAGCGGCCTGTGGAGCCCACAGAGGCGCTCGAGTCCAAAAGTCGTCCAACGTGTTCCAGAGCCCTGCTTCGAGCTGAGAAACATTTACGCTAAGAAAAGGTACTTCACTCCAAGAGTTCTCTTGAACAGTGGCCCAGGTCCAGGTATAGGAAGGGTCTACGAACCAAAGAGGAGGCTCCAAGAAGACGCCCAGGGCCCTGTCCAGTTTATTGGTCTTCTGAAGCGAGATCTGGAGCCCATGAAAGCTGATGTTGTTTCTTGAGCTGTCTGATGGGCGTAGAGCCAGGCTGTGCAGTCACAGCTTGCGAGCTCTTCGGTTTCATCGTGCCGACCACCCCCGGCCTTACAAGATGCCTATCAGGTGCCAATCCTTGGGCTAGATCTATAGATGCCCATCTCCCGCCCCGGAACATGTCTTTCAGATGCTTACCGTTGGGAGAAACAAGCCCGTGCTAGCACCAGGCGCCTTCCGCCGCACGGCGGCTCGAGCCCCCGACTTCCCTCGGTCTGGCCTTGAGGAGAGAAGTATGTCGGGGGCGCGCAAACATGGATTAGCGATCCATGGATTTGGCGCGCGGTCGCCAAATCCATGGATCGGGGGAGGTGCCCTCCCCAGAGTGCGGCCAGTGCGGCCTCGTTCGGCGGCGGAAGTCCGCGATTTCCCCATGGAAACCGGGCCCGTCGCTAGCCCACCCCCCCTTGATCCATGTCTGCTATCGCCTGAGTATGCAGATGCACCGACCCTGCACTGATCCCTCGCGGGCCAGAGAAGCTGGAGCATGCGCCATCCGGGCGGGGACCCGTCACTAATCTGCGCCCCCTAGATCCATGCTTGCGATCGCCTGCGTATGCAGATGCACCGACCCTGGACTGAGCCCTCGCGGGCCAGAGAAACTGGTGCATGCGCCAGCCCGGCGGGGACCCGTCGCTAATCCACGCCCCCTAGATCCATGCTTGCGATCGCCTGCGTATGCAGATACACCGACCCTGGACTGAGCCCTCGCAGGCCAGAGGGACTGTTGCATGCGCCAGCCCAGCGCGGCTCTCGTCCCGTGCCCAGGATGGGCATGGCAAGGATCGGTGTACGTGTGCTTTTCTCCTCGCCCGCAAAGAAGGGGGCCCCCCGGCGCCCAGCGACGCACTGTGGCGACGCAGGCGTCCCGCGGGAGAGGGTGTCCGTGCCCCCGATCCTGCCCCTGCCCAGAGCCTTGCCTCTTCTCCTCGCTCCCCTCTCCATCCTCCCCCTCGAAGTGCCACCTTCGCCCTCCGCGGCCTCCTCCTGGGCCCTCCCCAACCTCCTCCTCCTCCTCCTACTCCTCCTCCTCCTCCTCCTCCATCCTCATTCCTCCTCCTCTCCTCTCTCGAACCTCCTCCCCCAGCCTCCGTATCCTCCTCCTTCTCCGCCTCTTCCTCCTCCTCTTCTCTCCTCATCCTTCCTCCCCGCCTCCTCCTCCTCCTCCTCCTCCTCCATCCTCCACCTCCTTGCGGTGCCACCCTCTGCCGTCCCGCCGCCTGTTCCTCGGCCCTTCCCTCCCCTCCCTCCCATCTCCCGCCCTCAATCCTCCCTCAGTCCTTCCGTCCTCCGTCCCTGCATCCGCCCACCATCCCCTTTTCACGCTCCCCCCCTCCTCTTGCTCCACGCGTGTCCTCCCTCCTCTCTTCTCCCCCACGTGCCCTCCTCCGTGCCTCCCCCCTCGAGCATTTGATCTCCTCCTGCTGCGCACCTCGCCCTCCTCTCCTCTCATCTCACTCCTCCTCTCCTCTCCCCTACTCCTCCTCTCTCTCTCCTCCTCCTCCCCAGCCTGCCTCTTGCTCTCCCGCCCGCCCCTGCACCGCTCAGTCTCCCTACGGTCCCCTTTGTGCCCCACGCGTCTCCAGCTTCCTCCCCTCCCCCACGCGCCCTCCTCCGCGCCTCCCCCGCGAGCGTTGCTATTCACCCTGCCGCGCACCTCTCGCCCTCCTCCTCCCCCGTCCTGCCTCTCGGCTCACGCACGCCCCTGCACCGCTCAGTCTCCCCACGGTGACGCGGCCCACATCAGCCCCCGCATCGCTCCTCACCCCCCCCCTGGGGGGGCCTCCGACCCTCTGCCGCCAGCCAGCCCCGCTTTCCCGAGGAGGAGGAGGAGGATGAGGAACAAGAGGAGAGGGCGGAGGAGGAGGATGAGGAGGGACATGGGGAGGATGATGATGCTGGTGGTGATGGTGGTGATGGTGATGGTGATGGTGATGATGATGATGCTGATGATGCTGATGATGATGATGATGCTGATGCTGATGATGAGACTGCTGCTGCTGCTGATGATGATGATGATGGTGATGCTGATGGTGATGATGATGATGCTGATGATGATGATGATGATAATGATGATGATGATGATGATGATGCTGATGGTGATGATGATGATGATGATGATGATGATGATGATGATGATGATGATGATGATGATGATGCTGATGGTGATGGTGA